ATATATCAATCTATATATATATATATATCAATCTTTATAGATATATGTGTGTGTGTATATATAAATCAATCTACATATATATATACTTACAAACAAAATGAATATGTATATATATATATATAGAATCATATTCATTTTGTTATTTGTTTTAGAGCAGACTTAAGAAGAAATGAAGTAAGAAAATATAATTAAATAATTTGTATCATTTACTTTAACATTTTATGCAAAAGAAAAGGAGAGATATAAATTTTAATCTGCTAATGGGAGCAGTTGCTGCAGTTGTACAGAGAGCAGCAGCAATAAACAGGCGTCAGAGCCTCTTAATAAGCCTTTATATTTTCATTATGTTTGTTTTTTATTTATTTTTTTTGTTTTGAGGCTAAGAGATTGTTGGAGATACAGCCAGCAAATGCCAACCCAAGTAAAGAGACGAGGCGAGAAGCACAGATCAAAGCAGCTTCTCTCTTTAAGCATAATTTAATTTCTCTTAAGAAGAACAATGCAATAAAATAAATTAATTCAACTTATCATTGGCAACGTGGCCGAGTGGTTAAGGCGGTGCCCTGCTAAGGCATTGGGTTCTGCCCGCGTAGGTTCGAATCCTGCCGTTGTCGTTTTTAATTATTATTCATTTCTGTCAAACTCATAGCCACCTCAGCACCAGCAGCAGCAGCAGCAGCAGCTAGTAGTAGTAGTAGTAGCAGCAATGGCTGCTGGTGCAGCGATAGTAGCAGCAGAAACTAGAACAGCACTCCAGCAGAAACTGCGGGAACAGCAGCAACAGCAACTGAATGTGAAGAAGAAGAGACAATAAATGAAGTGCAGCCTATAAAAGTTACCAATGGCCTAAACCCTAAACCCTTAAACCCTTAAAGGCTAAACCCTAAACCTTAAACCCTTTTACTGAGCTCCGAACCCCCCGAAAGCTGAAGCAGAAACGAGCAGCAGCAACAGGCAACATGCATGCAGATCTTGCAGCAGCAAAGCTGCTGTTGCAGCAGCAGCAACCGGCTGCAACTGCAAGCCTTCTTGCGGCTCCCTGACTTACAGTTCAGATTCTGCAGCTGTATATACCTGCTAGCTCCAGCTAGCTAACTAGCTAGATAGATAGATTGTATGTTAGCTAGCTAGCTAGCTAGCTAGCTAGCTAGCTAGCCAGCTAGCTAGCATGTTAGCTAGCTAGCTAGCCAGCTGGAGCTAACAGGAGGCTTTGGAAATGCGGCTGCATGGAAACAGCAGCAAAATGCCGCAGATGTATTGCTGCTGCTGTTGCTGCTGTTGCTGCTGTTGCTGCTGTTGCTGCTGCTGGTTGCTACCGCTGCTTCCTTTGTTGCTACCGTTGATTGTTTTAATTTACTTTTATATTTTTAAAATACAAACCGCATATTAAGGCGTTTGAACAAACAGCACAGCAGCAGAAGGAAGGGATGGTGTAAATAAATAATAATGAAGTTGAGAAGACAGCGAAAAAAAAAGACAAAAGAAGACAGACCCCACACTCTACTCGCCTATGATGCGCAGCAGCAGCAGCAACAACAGAAGCTGCAGCAGCAACAGAAGCTGCAGCAGCAACAGCAACAGCAACAGCAGCAAGAACAACAACAGCATCAACAACAAGACAGCAGCAGCAACAGCAACACCACCAAGACAGCAGCAGGAGCAGCCGCAGCAACAACAGACGCAGCATGAGCAGCAGCAGCAGCAAAAACAACAACAACAGCAGCAGCAGCACAAGCAGCAGCAATAACAGCAGCAGCAGCAGCAAAGGAAATCTACAGCAACTCCGCATGCAAGCAATTAGAGACAGCAAAAAGCGCTCTCTTAGCTGCATACACTGGGAGAAATACCACAAATAATCAAAATATTGTAATTAAAAAGAGTTTTTAAATTAATATTTTAAATATTTTTATGCTTTTGTTTGCCTTCAACAACCATCCGCACACAGAAGGGAAGACATTCATAAAATAATGCATGCAGCTCTTTTCTTTCTGAACTCTCTGTAGATATTTGAGTATTTAAAATAATATTAAATAAAAATATTAATTTAAAAAAGACGAAAAACAACAACTTCAATTGTATTTATTTAACATATATAATACCGGTGGTTGGAGCTGCATATACACCTCAGCATGACTGGGCGGTGCTTCTCTGTACTGCATCTGAAGGAGTAAAATAAACCTTATTTAAATAAAGTATTTGTTTTTAAATACATATTTTAATTATATTTATTTTATTATTTACAAACTTCTCTTAATCAGCAGCCTTAACTTCCTTTGGGGCTTCTTCGGCAGCCTTTGGGGCGGTCGTCTGCACAAAGTATTTACCTTTGTTGTTTCCTGAAGAAAAAAGAAGAAAAACAATTAAAATAATATTCTTTCAATGAAATAAACTACGCAAGCAATACCCTTAAACACACAGGACAGCCCCCACGGCTGCCTCTCGCCGAGGGTTTATAATTCGGGTCGAGGGTTTAGGGTTTAGGGTTTAGGGTTTAGGGTTTAGCAGTAGGAATTATCCTACTCTTTGAAGTTCACTTGATTCATAGGATTACATTACTGTGCCTGGGAGTACCTCCTTAGGCGTTTAGGGTTTAAGTCTTATATTAGGGTTTAGGGTTTAGGGTTTAGGGTTTAGGGTTTAGGGTTTATTGGTGAAGATGGCTGGCGAAGATTCGGGTTGGTGTTTAATAGAAAGTGATCCGGGTGTATTTACAGCTCTTGTGGAGATGCTAGGGGTTCGCGGTGTATCTTTTCAAGAGGTTTACGGTTTAGATAAAGAAGCGTTCGCCTCACTCTGTTCAGCGTCAAACTACAGAAAGGTTTTAGGGTTTATCTTCTTATTTAATTGGCAGCGAGATCGCAACCGCACTCGCAGCAGCAGCAGCAGCAGCAGCAGCAGCAGCAGCAGCGGCGGCAATGCAAACAACCCCACCGATCCCAGCTCCAGCACCAGCAACTCTCAAGAAAATACAGCAGCAGCAGCAGCAGCTGAAGCAGCAGCAGCAGCAGCAGCAGCAGCAGCAGCAACACAGGAGGCACCTGAAACACTCTTTTTTGCCAATCAGGTATTGTTATATTTAAACATCTCTGTCTTTGTTGCATGCATTTATATAAACAGCAGCAGCAAGAGCAGCAACAAATAATAAATATAAAGCAGCAAACAACCGCAACCAATAATAAATAAATAATAATTATTAATAATAATTAAATTAATAACTTAAAAATAATAGAATCTGCATGCGGATTAAAATAAAATTATAATAAAAATAAAGTAGACACAGCAAACAATAATATAAACAAATAAACAAAAAACCCTTTAAAAGATGTTTATTTATCTTATTCTCTCCTTTTGCTTTTCCTGCTGCTGCTGCTGCTGCTGCTGCTGCTGCTGCGTTGGGGTGTACAGACAGTAGAGAATGCATGCGCAACTCAGGCTATCTTATCTGTTTTATTAAACAGACGTGAAGAAATAAAAGATTTAGGAGAAAACTTAAAAGCCCTCTGGGACTTCATTAAAGATTTTCAAGACCCCACAATGCGCGGAGAAGCCATAGGAGGATGGTTCGTTACAACACTCTAGGGTTTAGGGTTTAGGGTTTAGGGTTTAGGGTTTAGGGTTTAGGGTTTCAGTTAGCAGCGCGTGTTTCCCTGCCAAGAACGTGTTCCGTATGCTTAGTACGTAACCCTTTAAAAGTTTAATGTTTAATCTTTAATGCTTAATGTTGAACTTTTAGGGTTTAGGGTTTAGGGTTTAGGGTTTGCGTGTCAGTGAGGCCATTCGCTGCGCACACAATTCGTTCCGGCCCAACATATCTTTTGAAGTTGTTGAAAAAGACGAAGAAGATAAAAGAGAAGCCTTTCACTTCGTTAGTTATGTTTCGCACGCAAACAAAGTCTACGAGCTAGACGGCCTCAAACAGGCAAGGGTTTAGGGTTTAGGGTTTAGGGTTTAGGGTTTAGGGCTTAGGGTTTAGGGTTTGGGTTTGGGGTTGAGAATTTAGGGTTCAGGGTTTAGGGTTTAGGGTTTAGGGTTTAGGGTTTGGGGCGTAGGGTTTTCGGGTGTGGGGTTAATGGTTTAGGGTTTAGGGTTTACGGATTAGGGTTTGGGGGTGGGTTTGAGGGTTCAAGGGTTGGCGAGTAGGGTTTAGGGTTTAGGGTTTAGGGTTTAGGGATTGGGCTTTGATGGTTGGGGTTTACGATCAGCGAATTACGGTTTGTACGCCCTAGGGTTTAGGGTTTAGGGTTTAGGGTTTAGGGTTTGAGTGTGCAGGGCCCTGTTTGTGTGGGGGATATAAACGGGGAGGATTGGACCGAAGTCGTCCGCAAAGAAATCGTCCGCAGAGTCGAGCAGTAAACCCTAAACCCTAAATACTCAACAAACCCTAAACCCTGAACACTTAAGAAACCCTAAACCCTAAACACTTAACAAACCCTAAACCCTTGAACAAGCCCTAAACCTGTAGCAAATCCTAAACCCTAAACCCTAGACCCTCAGCGCTTAACATAACTTAAACTGTAAACAAACCCTAAACTCAAATCCGTTAACAAACCCTAAATCCTGAACAACCCTTAAACCCTCAGCAAACCCTAAACCCTAATCAAATCTTAAACCCTAAAGAACCATTAAAACCCTTCATCTTTAGGCTTGAATGTGTAAACCCTCAATGCCTTTTTGTGCTTTCATTTATATCTTCTTCTTTGCTCGATCCCTCCACGCTTTAGGGTTTAGGGTTTAGGGTTTAGGGTTTAAATGTTTTATCTAGGATTCAATTAAACGGAGAAGAATTACGTTTTAATTTAATTGCGATGACGACAAATCCACTCGAAGATATCGAGAAAGAAATTCAAGAACAAAGGTTTGTTTTTCTTGTAGGGTTTAGGGTTTAGGGTTTAGGGTTTAGGGTTTAGGGTTTAGGGTTTAGGGTCTATATGTTGTGTTTACAAGTTGCATTTTCTTGTTATTGATTTGTTTTATTTATAATTTAATTCGTTTCTTTAACTCTGTTTTATTTTTAGGATTTATTTTGTTTTATTTATTTAAATTGTTTGTCTAGGGTTTAGGGCTTAGGGTTTAGGGTTTAGGGTTTAGGGTTTAGTGTTTAGGGTTAATTTGTTTGTTTTGTTCTGTTTAGATTTTTTCTAAATTGTTTTGTGGTATTTTATTTATTTCTTTTTTATTTATTTGTTTAATTTAATTTAATTTAATTTAATTTATTTTTTTTTGTTTTGTTTGTTTTAATTATTTATTTAATTTAATAAATTTTTTTACATTTGTTTTCTCCTTTGATCTTCCCAGCCGTTTATTTCTATATTTGTTTATTTTATTTTATTTTATTTATTTTATTCTATTTTATTTTTATTTATTTTATTTATTTTATTTATTTTATTTGTTTATCTTCATTTATCTACTATGTTATTATTTATTTATTTATTTATTTATTTATTTATTTATTTATTTATTTTTATTTTTATTTGCAGGGAAGCCGCAGAAAATGCTGCAAAGCGACTGAAAGGAGATGAGTCTTCAACAGCAAACCCTCAGCACTTAGAACAGGTAAATCCTAAACCCTAAACCCTAAACCCTTAGCTCTAAACCCTAAACCCTTAGCTCTAAACCCTAAACCCGAGGCTCTAAACCCTAAACCCTAAACCCTACACTCTAAACCGCATCTTTATAAGTTCTGTCTTTCCTTTGGAATGCCTTATTGATGTGTCGATCTGTGGATGGGGGTTTAGGGTTTAGGGTTTAGGGTTTAGGGTTTGCTGAGGTGTATGTACAGCTGCGACAAACCGCTCTTTCGAGAATAGAGATCCTGGAGGAGCAGAGGGCGCAGGAAGAGGCTAAGAGAGGCGTAAGCCTCATCTAAACCCTAAACCCTAAACCCTAAAGGAATAAACAGTGGTGGCTGTACTTTGTTTGTGTTTATCTTTCTCGCTGTTTGTAATTTTGGTTTTGTTTATATGCATGTATATATATATATATATAGGGTTTAGGGTTTAGGACTTATATATACAGATTTCTTTAGAAGGGAATTAAGCAGCGCCTTAGAGGGAGAAGAAAATATGTTTGTCGAGCGTTTAGGGTTTAGGGTTTAGGGTTTGTTGCACTCAGGAGTGGCAGCGAGAAAACGCGCGTCGGCGTCACGACTTCACTCCGTTCATTCTCTGTGCTCTTAGGTAATAAGGGTTTAGGGTTTAGGGTTTGGGGACTAGGGTTTAGGGTTTAGGGTTTAGCGTTTCGGGTTTAAGGATTATGGTCTAGGGTTTGGGGTTTGGGGTTTAGGGCTTGGGGATTAGGGTTTAGGGTTTATGGTTTGGGGTTTGGTGTGTATGTACAGACACCTAGCAAAGAAGAAAGAGCTGGTGAAGGCTGTACGCCGTGCTACTGCAGCAGCAGCAGGAACTTCCGGGGGGTCAGAAGGGCAGAAGGGAAGCTGAATCTCCACCTGTTTAGGGTTTAGGGTTTAGGGTTTAGGGTTTAGGGTTTGAATTCCGAAGCGTGGAAGAGCGGCTGCACAGCGGGAGTGCATCGTATACACCTCAGCTGTTTATATGAGGTGTATGCACACCTCAACTGTTCGAATGAGGTGCCTATACACCTGAAATAAGGTGTTTATACACTTGAAATAAGGTGCCTATACACCTGAAATGAGGTGCGTATACACCTGAGTTGAGGTGCGTATACACCTGAAATAAGGTGCCTATACACCTGAGATGAGAGGTCCTTACACATTCCAGATGAGGTGCCTATACACCTGAAATAAGGTGCCTATACACCTCAAGTGTTCGAATGAGGTGCCTATACACCTGAAAAGCGGTGCCTATACACCTGAGATGAGGTGCCTATACACCTGAGTTGAGGTGTATAGGCAGCTCATTGTTTGTTGCAGAGTTCCTGCGCCAGAGCGGGAGTTGTCTGTACACTTGGGTGGAAATCAGCAGACAGTTTGGAGCTGCCTATACACCCGAACCACAGTGCTAAGAAATAATCAATTGTTGCTGCTGCTGTTGCTGCTGCTGCTGCCGATGGCGGTGCTGCTGTTGTTGCTGCTATTGCTGTTGCTGTTGCTGTTGCTGCTGCTGTTGCTGTTGCTGCTGCTGTTGCTGCTGCAGCTGCAGCTGAGTTAGTAGAGCGCGTTGAGGTGTATATACTAACACAACACAGGGGCAGTGCATGCATAATTAATTTTTATTTTAATTAATTTAATTTGATTAAATTAATTAAAATTATTTGTTTTTTTCCGCTTTAACGAGGCATGCAAGGAGCTGAGGTGTCTGTACACCTCAAACAGCAGCAGCAAGAAGAAGCAATATTAGTTATTTAATTAATTGTTTAAAATAATTAATAACAAACATATAATATAAAACAAAACAAAAACAATAATAATAATAATAATATTATTATTATTATTGCAATGCCTCCATATATACGTCCAATTCGTCTGTTTGTTTGTTTATTTTCAGCATTTATTTAAAATTAATTAATTATTTATTTAGATGTACAAATAAACAATCAAAACAATTAAACAAATACTCGCAGCAGCAGCTTCTGCTGCCTTCTTACAAGGCCCAGCCCCGATCTGCTGCTGCTGCTGCTGCAGCAGCAGCAGCAGCTGCAGTAGCGCCTCCCTTGCGCTCCGTTGGTTATTACTCTAAATTTAATTTAATTTCGTTTGGTTTTGTTTAATTAAATCAAACAAACAAAATAAACACAAAAAAATATAAAAACGCTGTCGGGCCTAGCCCCTAAGGTATTACAGCAGCAGCAGCAGCAGCAGCAACAGCAGCAGTAGCAGCAGCAACAGCAGCAGCAGCAGCAGGGAAGACACAGTCTGCAGGAGCAGAGGAAACATCACAAACAGCAGCAAGAGTATCATTAGCGGCGGCTGCAGCAGGAGCAGCAGCAACAACAACAACAGTAGCAGCAGCAGCAACAGCAACAGCAGCAACAGCAACAGTAGCAGCAGCAACAGAAGCCTGCAGCAGCAACAGCAACAACAGCACCAGCGCCAGCACCACCAGCAGAAGCAGCAGCAACAACACCAGCAGCAGCAAGACCAGCAGCAACAGCAGCAGCAACACCATCAGCAGCAACAGCAGCAGCAACACCAGCAGCAACACCAGCAGCACCGGCAGCACCAGCAGGAGCAGCAATAACAGCAGCAGCAGCAACAGCAGCAAGAGAATGTAGGGAGACATAGATTGAGAAGATGTGCCCCGAGTTGCTGCTGCTGCAGCGGATATTTGAGAACAAGATTCTCTCTGCTTTTTCTTCAGGTGTACATACACCTGAAAAACAAACAGCAGCATTATGCAGCTGTCAGCGACAAAAAATATTAAATTTGCTGCTGCTGCGTCTGCAAAATAAAACCCTACAGACGCAAGACCTTCCGGGTGCAGCAGCAGCAGCAGCAACACCAACAACAACAACCGCAGCAGCAGCAGCAGCAACAGCAGCAGATGCACCAGCAGCAGCAACATCACCAGCAGGTGCAGCAGCAGCTGCAGCAGCAGCAGATGAGGGGTATACTGCTGCAGGCCGTTCGCCTTTGAATTTTTTCTGCGGTGTGCGGCTGCCAGCAGCAGTTAAAACCCTCGCAGATATTCTACAACAAATTATACACTCCGCTAAGCAGCAGCAGCAGCAGAAGCAGCAGCAGCTACAGCCGGAGCAGCAGCAGCAGCAGCGACAGCAACCGCCGGAGCAGCAGCAGCAACAGCAGCAGCAGCAACAACAACAGCAGCAGCAGCAACAACAACAACAGCAGCAGCAGCAGCAGCAACAGCAGCAGCAGCAACAGCAGCAGCAGCAGCAGCAGGAATGTGTTATAATTTGCGAGTTATGCGGGTTAGACGTCGGTTTGCTGCTCTCTTCTCTGCACTCAGTTTGTCTTCGTTTTCTGACTTTGTTTGTTTTGCTAGGCTTTGCCTATTCACCTGACGGCATGAAGCAATTAAAAAGAAAAATTAAAAATAAAAGCAGCAAACAACAGCAGCAGCAGCAGCAGCAAATACTTCCATCTGCTGCAGCAGCAGCAGCAGATACAACAGCAGCAGCAGCAGCAGCAGCAGCAGCAGCAAATGCTGAGGGAGCTTCTCTTGCAAGCAAACATAAAAATTATAAGATCATTGGATCAACTCAAATCAAACGCCTCAAACTCCACAACTGTAAGCCTAGGGTTTAGGGTTTAGGGTTTAGGGTTTAGCTGCTATTGCTGCTGTTGCTGCTACTGCTGCTGCTGCTCATGCTGCTATCTCTTTCTGGTGCTACTGCTGCTCCTGCCGCTACTTCTGCTGCTGCTCTTGTTGCTATCTCATTGCTGTTGCTTCCGCTACGTCTGCTGCTGCTCTTGTTGCTATCTCTTGCTGCTGCTGCTGCTGCTGCTGCTGCTGCAGACGTGAAGGTGCAGCAAGTGGGTCAAGGTGCGTATGGAGATGTTTGGCTGGGGTGTGAGGCGAAGACAGGAAGATGGGTAGCATTAAAGAGAATGAAGCCGCAGCAGCAGCAGCAGCAGCAGCAGCAACAGCAGCAACAGCAGCAGCAGGTAGACCCGGAGCACCACGTTGCCGCAGCGCAGCAGCAGCTGCTGATGCTGCAGATGCAGCAAACAGCAGAAGATAGAGACGGCTTTCCTAAAACTGCAATCAGAGAGATCTCTCTTCTTTCAGATTTAAAAGGTAATGCTGTCTTCTTGCTGCTGCTGCTGCTGCTGTTCTGTTGCTGCTGCTGCTGTTCTGCTGCTGCTGCTGCTGTTCTGCTGCTGCTGCTGCTGTTCTGCTGCTGCTGCTGTTGCTCGTGCTGCTGCTGCAGTTGCTCGTGCTGCTGCTGCTGTTGCTCGTGCTGCTGCTGCTGTTCTGCTGCTGCTACTGCTGCTCGTGCAGCAGCAGCAGCTGCTACTACTACTACTACTACTGCTCGCGCTGCTTCTGCTGTTCTGCTGCTGCTGCTGTTCTGCTGCTGCTCCCCTTGTTATTGCGGCAGCAGCAACTCGTGCAGCACAAATATAGACATTTATTTATTTATTTTAATATATTTAACCGAGGTGTATATACACCCCGTCGTTTGTTTTTTGTGTTTAGACAATCCGCACATCGTGCGGCTGCTGGGCGTAGCAAATTCAAAGCGTAAGAGAAATATTTTTATTGTTTTGTTTGTTTTGTTTAAATATAATTAAATAATATTAAAGCATAAATCCGATATATATATTTATATTTATTTATTTGTTTACATGTATATATTTAAGTTTTATTTATTTTATTTATTTGCAGCACCAACCAATTGCTATTTATTTATTTATTTATTTATTTATTTATTTATATTTACATACTTATTTATCTATTTATATCTTTTAATTAATTAATTAATTAATATTATTTACTTCTTTCTTTATCTATTTATATCTTTTAATTAATTAATTCAGTAATTAATATTATTTATTTATTTATTTATCTATCTATCTATTTATATCTTTTAATTAATTAATTAATTAATTTGTTTATTTATTTAATTAATTAATTATTTAATTATTTTATTTAATTATTTATTTATTGATCTATTTATTTATTTATTTATTTATTTATTATTTATTTATTTATTTTATTTATTTATTTTGTTTACAGCGGCTTTGAACTCACCGAATAGGCTGCCCTGTCTGTGGATGATTTTTGAGTACTTTCCGTTCGACGTTTTGGGCTTCCTCGAGTCTATTCGCGACAATACAGAGAAGAGAGAACGCATGCAGCGACCTAATAAGGTTAAACAGCTGCTGCTGCTATTGCTGCTGCTAATGCTGCTGATAATGCTGCTGATAATGCTGCTCATAATGGTGCTCTTAATGCTGCTGATATTGCTGCTGATAGTGGTGCTCTTAATGCTGCTGATATTGCTGATGCTTCTGCTGCTGTTGCTAAGGGTGCTAGTAATGCTGCTGATAATGCTGCTGATAATGGTGGTACTAATGCTGCTGCTGTTGCTGCTGCTGCTAATGGTGCTGCTGTTGATGCTGCTCCTAATGGTGCTCCTAATGCTGCTGCTGTTAATGGTGCTGCTGCTGTTGCTGTTGCTGCTGCTGTTGTTTCTGCTGGCGCTTCTTTGACGGCTTTTTGACTGCGGTTTCTGCTGCTGCTGCTGCTGCTGTTGCTGCTATTGCTGCTGCTGCTGTTGCTGTTGTTGCTGCTGCTGCAGTGGTTGTCTTTAGCGGAGATAAAAGGAATAATGCTGCAGTTATTTGCTGCTTTACATCATTGTCACTCCAACAACATCATACACCGCGATCTTAAAAGTGCGTCTCTTCGGGTGTATGTACACCGCAATTTGCTTATTATATATATTTGTTTTATTGTTTTTATACATTTATTATCTATTTAACTAGCTTATTTTAATTAGTATAATTTAATTAATCTAATTTAACTAATTTACTAATTTATTTATTTGTTTGTTTATTCAGCTGCTAATTTATTAATGGATATGCATTTATATACATATTTATGATGAAGCTCAATTTAACTAATTTATTTTAATCTACTTAATATAATTTAATTTACTTTAATTAATTAATTAATTAATTAATTAATTATAATTTATTAATTTGTTTGTTTATTCAGCTGCTAATTTATTAATGGATATGGATGGGGTCGTGAAGTTAGCAGACTTTGGCTTAGCTCGTCGATTTTCTCTCTTTGTCTCTCCTCCGAACAATAAATTTAATCAAACAAATTATTCTTTTAACCCTCAGTCTTCTGCCTCTGCTGCTGCTAGTACTGCTGCTGCTGGTGGTAGCGGTGATGGTAGTGGTGCTGGTGGTGCTGGGGTTGCTGCTGCACATCAGCAGCAGCAGCAGCAGCAACAGCAGCAGCAGCAGCAGCAGCAAGGTGCTGCAGAGGGTTTATCATTTAATTGTAGAGAAGAGAGCAACAGAGTGAAGAGAAAGCGAGAAGAAGAGGAGAATAATAAGGGGTTGATAACTGGAGCAGCGAATCCAGATCAGCATCAGCAGCAGCAGCAACAGCAGCAGCAGCAGCAGCAGCAGCAGCCTGCTTTGCTTCAAGGAAGCCAATGCCGTTTGCTGTCGAACAGAGTAATAACATTGTGGTATCGGCCCCCAGAGCTGCTATTAGGCGGCGACGTGTACACTGCAGCAGCAGATATTTGGAGTGCTGGCTGTATATTAGGCGAGCTGCTCTGTGCATTTCCTCTCTTTGCTGCTGATAAAGAAGCTGCTGTGCTCAAACAAATCATTCAGGTATCTCCTCTTACCTTCTGCTGCTGCTGCTGCTGCTGCTGCTGTGGTTGCTCCTGCTGCTGCTGCTGCTGCTGCTGTGGTTGTTGCTGCTGCTGTTGTGGTTGCTCCTGCTGCTGCTGCTGCTGTGGTTGCTCCTGCTGCTGCTGCTGCTGCTGTGGTTGCTCCTGCTGCTGCTTCTGCTGTGGTTGTTCCTGCTGCTGCTGTGGTTGCTGCTGCTGCAGCGGCTGCTGCTGTGAATGGGTTTATGCTGCTGCTGCTTCTGTTTAGTTAATTAATTTAATTAATTAATTGTTTATTTGTTTATTTGTTTGTGTGTACAGAAGCTAGGCCCTCCTTCTGCAGCAGATGCTGCTGAATTATATACATTTGCTGCTCCGCATGCGTGGCGGCAGCTATCAGGTTTAGGGGGATTAGATGCTGCTGCTGCTGCTGCTGCTGGAGGTGGAGGTGCTGCTGCTGCTGCTGCGGGGGCGCAGCCGCTGCTGCTGCATGCAGCACCACAAAAGGCAGCGGAGTTTGAAAGAATAATTAAATTTAATAATCAGTTAGTCGCTGTCTTCTTTTTTTTGTTTGTTTGTTTATTTTGTTTATTTGTTTATTTTGCTTGTTTGCTTTTTTGTTTTGTTTATTTGTGTGGTAGATTAATGCACATAAACAGCAGCAGCAGCAGCAACTTAGCAGCACAGCAGCAGCAGCAACTTAGCAGCAGCAGCAGCAGCAGAAACAGCAGCAGCAGCAGCAGCATTTACGTTTCTCTCTCCAGCAAGCAGAGCGAAATAAATGCATGCATAAAATAAAATATAAATTATATTAATTATTACCGTTATATTATAAATATAAAATAAAAGTCTATTAATTACTACCACTAACATTATTATTATTATGTAAATAAATAAAAATAATAATTAAATATAATAACATATTATAATATTATTTTATTTAATTATTATTTTTATTTATTTTTATTTTTTGTTTTGTTCAGGGCAGGAGAAGAGGGTTGGGATCTGCTTTCAAAACTCCTCGCCTGGAGCCCAAGTCAGCAGCAGCAGCAGCAGCAGCAGCAGCAGCAGCAGCAGCAGCAGCAGCAGCAGCAGCAGCAACAGCAACAGCAGCT